GATCTTCATTTTCATGTCTGACATTTGTCTTTTGGTGCATGTTAGGTTTTTAAAAGCACTTCTTAATTCTTTACCTTTTATTTTGCTGATATTTTTAGGTTGATGAAAATGCACCTGAGGTTGAGAGGAAACGTCAGAAATTAGCGAGGAATACAATAATTGGGAGTATTTTAGTACTTGTATCTTGCGGTGCTGGCTTTATCTTCTTTTGCTTTTATTATGGTCAGAACTTCTTCATATGGCTCAAATAATTATGGTGTAGTTAAAGTGCTCTTTCATTTGAGGATTAATACTGTATGATTACTACAGGAAGGTCCAAGAGAGACGAGCATGGAAATTACGTTGAAGACGAATTTAGTGGGTCATATCTGGCCCCATTTTATAGAATAATGAAAAGCTTTAGGGAATGGCGTGATGTAAGTTCCAGCTCATTATTTTAAAGTTTTGGGCATTTAGTTATAGTAGTGAAGAAGGGTGATTTTATGCGAAGAAACTTGCGTATTTTTTTCTTATGGTTTTACTTTTTAGTACGTTACGGAACCTTCCCGAGAAGTACTGTTACCAGATCCCTTACCATCACACTTGCAGCCTAAATACACATTAGTTATCGAAATGAAAAATATCTTGATTGCTCCAGAATGGACGGTTTCTTTTAAATCTCTTAATCATGTTTGAAAACCGCTCAAATAGTTTTTAAATTCAAAGACAAGAAAATTCTTAAAAGTTAATTACAAAATGAATTAATGAATTAATGTAGAGAACAGTGTAGTTTGAACAAACATCCTATTTCTTTCCATGAGAAGTGTTCATTACAGTACAAAACTGGGCACAGATTTGTGAAACGACCGGCGTTAGATTATTTTTTGGATATGGTTGGATATCCAAATTTTGAAGTTGTCATCTATACTTCGGAAGGAGCTATGACAGCACATCCAGTTATTGATTCTTTTGATCCAAAGCAGCGGATAATGTATCGTCTCTATCGTGACTGTACAAAATATAAAAAGGGTCATCACATAAAGGTATACCGTATGCGGCCTTTGTCACATCATTCGAGGGTGTCATTTTGAGTTTAGGATTTATCGCGCTTGAATCGTGATCTGTCGAAAGTAATTTATATTGATTATGACCCTCACTCCTTTCAACTGAACCCTGAAAATGTGTTGAGGCTGCCAAAGTGGGAAGGTGATATGGATGACACCGCGCTTGTTGATCTGGCGGAGTTGCTGAAAAGTATGTTTGTTTTTTCCTTTCGAGTTTTTGGCGGTTGTCCGGACCGGCTGATGCTGAGG